CGCGTCTGAGCCGCTCCTAAATGTCCAACTGATGATAATCAGCTGGGAGCTTCTGCAGAAAGTGACAGGGAGCGAGAAAGGCAGTAGATTGTAGCTCTTCTGTGGCCAATATATTAAATAAAATGAAGTAACCGTCGCGATTTATAAATACCCCGACACGTTTCCTTTCAGCGGATCTTCTGAAGCGCTGGTTAGACTGCCAGTCTATGGAGTAGTGAGACGGTATGCGCTGGAATGTGCGACTTACGCAAATACCGTTCATCCCATCTCAATAACACTTACAGCTGAATTCATGACAATTTTCTCTACGATTGTCATCTATTATATGTGTATAAAGCTTAAGAATGGCATAATAGGAGCACAAAAGCGGCAATGAGGAAGAGGAAAAGCATAGAGAGAGCTGCTAGACCGGGGAGTCACGTGACGCATAGGCAGCCAATGACATTGGATTGTTTTGGCCTATTCATTGTCTATGAACAAATAGACAAAATATAAATGTCGATTATAAAGAAACCATAAAAGACATCAAGATTTTTGCACCATTGGTAGCTGAACGTCTCACGAGTTGAATAGAGTTGAAATGGCGTTTCTAGCCCAAGGTATGCTGGAGATATTAAGCTTCCAACGTCGCTCCATTCATTTCCAATGGGGAAATTTCTGTAAAAAAAAAAGCTGAATAGCTTAAAAAGTATAAGTTATAAAAAAGTTGTATACAAGCAGTTATGTCCTTAAAGAGATAAATAGTTTGATACCTCAATGGCCCTTCTAGGTGAAAGTATGCTGAAGGAGTTGAGTGCCAAAGAACAGTGGCGGAATCCAGAATAATAAAGAAGATAACAAGAGTGTGGATGCTCGCATCCACACTAACTAGAAAAATGCATTTCCTGTCGAAAATGCGTGTGGATGCTGTAATGCTGAAGCATCGCCCTGAAAAGGCTGAAATACCTGCTGAAACAGCTCAAGGATGAGAAGAAATGGCTGAAGTTGTTGAAATAATTGAAGGTTGTGAAAAAATGGCAGAAGTAGTTTGAAACAGCTGAAGCATGAGATGCAGGGCTGAACAATTGTGGAAGTTGAAAAAGCTTTATGAAAGATGAAAGCAAAAAGATGAATAATTACTGTATATAAGATGAAATCAAAAGCTTTGTGTGTCAACAGGCCTCACAAAGTATGGAAAGCACAAAGGCAGAGGACATTTTCAACGCTATTGATTTGTTTTTGGACTCTTTGCCTGTTTGAGACCACCACTCCACAAACAATCACACTGCCTCCATCGTCCACCATGCCTCACACTCTGACCTTACAGCAACACCAGGTAAGACAAGTGTTAAGTGTTAGATTTTACCCAAATTTTTATTGAAAGCGCGAGAAGTGAGGACAGGAGAGGACTGTTTAAAATCAACAGGAAGTTTACTCAAAGTCTGGGCACAGGTAAAGCCATACAGCGCTGGGATCAGAGCAACAGAGCTCCCGCAAGAATTCCATTCTCTAGACCCTGAGTTACATGTTTTCATTGCATTTATCTGCTTGGCCTAGGCCCGCCCTGGACAGAGGTACAACATTTCACACTTTGTAATCCTATTGGCCATTTGGTGTGAGTAGGTCAACCCCTACTTGCGCCTGCTTGTTGGAATGTGATCTAAACCAGGTACGTGGGTTTTTCAGGTGGCAGCTTGATCTTGATCAGTGAACACTGAACAATGGGTGGTCTGGGCTGCAGGCCCCCCTGTCTCTGCAGGACACCCCATGACAAAGCAGAACTTGGAATATGCTAAGTGGGTCTAGGTGAAGGTGCAAAACAGGCCAACGGGTCTTTGTTAAAATGTAAAATAGGCTGTCTGGTTACCTGAAGGTACAGGCAGTATGTCTACACAGAAGTTAAATCAGGCAGTTTCTACTTCACTTGACTCTCATCCATACAATTGTGAGATACATAAGCAAGGAAAATAAAGTTATGAAAGGTAACAAAGAAAATGAAGAACTGAAAAGTAACTCAAGCTTATAAAGTAACTAGAACCTATAAGAATGGTGAACCCTAGTAAGGCCACTGGACCAGATGGAATACTCTGTAAAGTACTGAAGGCTTTCACAGACCAGCTGTCAGGGGTCCTGATGAGGATTTTTTAACAACTCCCTGACACAAGCCTCCATCCCCACATGCTTAAAGTCTGCCAAAAGTATCCCTGTCTGCAAAAGGCCAGCTGTCAGTAGCCTCAGTGACTACAGGGCCATAGCACTCACCTCTGTTGTAATGAAGTGCTTTGAGAAACTGATAGAGCATAGCTGGCGATGTTTTACAGCTCCGCCATTGAGAACATTTTGACTGATTGATGTGCAGGTCTGGAGTGTAGAAAGTGTGAGGAAGACAGGTAGGTACTGGCCCAGTTGGAATGAAGAGCCGTCACAGCCGAGGAAGACGTCTTGCTGAAAGGATTCAAGTGTTGACAGTGCAGGGGATGCAGGTGTTAGATTTTACCCAAATTCTTTCATTGAAAGCGCGAGAAGTGAAGACAGGAGAGGACTGTTTAAAATCAACAGAAAGTTTACTAGATGTCTGAGCACAGGTGAGGTCCATACAGCGCTGGGATCAGAGAGACAGAGCTTCCACGGAAATCCGTTCTCTGAACCACGAGTTATGTTTTCACAATACTTTTAAGTTCTTGGGCTGCTCCGCCCTGGACAGGGGTGCAACCTTCAATAGTTCGTGATCCTATTGGCCATTTGGTGTGAGCCGGAGCTCACACTTCTTTGTTGGAATGTGGTAAAATCTAGGTATGTGTGTGTGTGCGTCTCAGGTGGCAGCTTGATCTTAATCAAGAGCACCGAACAATGGGTGGCCTGAGTTGCAGGCCCCCTGTGTGTGTGATGCTAATAAGTATGCTAAACTGGCCAGGTGGTCATCTCAGGTTGTGGGCCCCCTGGCTCTGCAGGACACTCCAAGACAAAGCAGAACTTGGGATATGCTAAATGGGTCAAGGCATGAGTGTAAAACAGGCTAACATGTCGTTAAAATGTAAATAGGCTGTCCGGTCACCAGGAGATGCAGCCATCCAGTCTCAACAGAAGTTACAGAAAGTAAGCAGATTCTGCTTCATTACAATTGTAAGATATATGAGCAAGGAAAATAAATGTATTAAAAATAACCAAAGCTCAGTAGTTCTGGACAATCATCAATACAGCTGTAATATGCAAGGAAAATAAAGTTATGAAGTAACTAAAGGTATGAGAAGTAACTAAAGGGAACTAAAGGTATGAGAAGTAACTAAAGCTTATAAAGTAACTAGAGCCTATAAGAATCAAATCTTACACAGGAGAATGGCATCTCGCTGATGGAGGACAGCAGAGGAGAATCAGGTTGCCAGAGACAGAGATACCACTGGATACTGGAGACAAAGCAATCACATATTAGTCATGGGAATACTCTGCAGGAGTGAGAAGACTTCTGACTAGTCAGACCCAACAGACCAGCGACAAAGCACGCCAGCGCCCGGCTTAAATAGTGCCGGGCTGATAGAACACAGCTGTGTTTCATCTACCAGTCCGTCGTGGACTGGTAGATAGGTGGAGGTGCCCGCTGAGGGGGCGGAGGTGCGGGTAGAGCTGGCTGAGGGAGTAGATGATCGAGGCACCGGCTGTGGACCCTACAGTTTTGTATGTTTTTATATTTGCACTGATCAGATGTGGCACATCTAATTTCATTGTACTTACGTATAATGACAATAAAGTATTCATTCACTCAACATAAAGTTGTTTTAACAAGAGGGGTAGCTAATAACAATATTCAAACCTAATGAAAATGCAAAATCTAGAACTGACTTTTGGTTAGGATCAAACTCAGTATCAAAGCATGTTACAGAAACAAATATCTCCTGGACCTTTAACATATATGAAATGTATCAGCACAGAAACTTGATCATCTGATGGGTGGATACAATTTATTCTAGCCCCATGTATTATTTATTTTCTATTTTATTTTGTTTTATATTTTATGGCCCATAATCTTGTATTTATTTATTTTAATCTCTTCACTTATTTATATTGTATTGGTATACAGTAATGATCTGTTATAATGGACATGAATATAGGCGCCTACTTATTTTATAAGTTTTACCTCAAATAACCTTAAAATGTTGCTTGGGTCTTTTTTAAGGATTTGGTTGTTATGCGAATTTCAATAGAGTCCTTAATATATGTAGAGAGGGTATCGTTGCGCCTTGCTGTGCGTCCAGTCTTGGCTCCGCAGTATGTCTCTGTTCTGACAGTGTGCGGCCAAACGCCGTCATCACAGCGACCAGCACACAGTAAACAACAGACGTCACTTCCGCATTCAGGTTGACACCAAAACAACAGAAACAGGAGCGATTTAAAAAGCCATACGAACAAACAATTCTGAGAAGCACTAACGGGATGAAGGTAAGAAAGAGTGGGAATTCTTGGTTTAGTTTTAGTCTTTTATGACGACAATTACGACTGTTGTGTTAGTGGCAACAGCAGTGTAGCGTTATAGCTACAGTCCAGGCTACGCGAAATGACAGATGTCCGTTCGTGTATAGGTAGTGTGTGCAGCTTCGGGGAAAACAAACGCTTGTCAGGCTCCAGACCTCCTGCTATGATTTCTGGTTAACGTTAGCAGAATCAGTCTTCCCAGCGAGCTGACGTTGGAAGCAGAGAAGCAACTCATGTAGTTCTACTGCGCAGAAGCATGTTGCAGGTGAACTGCGAGCATAGGCTGCATGGATGACGTTAGCTTATTAGCTAGACCAAGAATGTATTGTAAGATGAATGAATTTTTGCTTTTTTGAGATAATAAAATTAAAAATGATGTTCAAAACGATGAGATGATAACTCAGTTTCCTTGGGAGGCTGTATTGATTTTTTATTTTATTTTTCCTGAGCTTTTTCTTGAATATTTTCTCCCACTTTTTACTTGGGACAGATGCAAAGCCAGAACATTACACATCTTGCAATTTCACATAATGAGCTATTTCTGCATAGTTTAATACAACCTGACTAAACATACAGTGTTATACAAAGGTTTGGACACCTCTTATAGTCAGTTGAATGGTTGCAATGCCAAATAATGCCACAAGAGGGATGCTGGATTAAATCAAATCAAATCAAATTTATTTATATAGCACTTTAAAGCAACATCCAGCTGACCAAAGTACTTTAAATGGGAAAATAAAATCACAATAAATGACTAAAATAAAGTAAATAAGATCAGTACAAAATAAAACAGCACAATAACACAGACACACATAACATATGTTCAGTAAATTAAAATTAAATGAAAAGGAGTTAAAAGGAATGCATCAAGCCCTACTGTGTATTAAAAGCCAAGCCAAATAAATAAGTTTTAAGCAATGATTTAAACGTAATGAGGTCAGTAGCTGATCTAACTTTAAAAGGTAGACTATTCCATAATTTAGGGGCTGCAACAGTAAAAGCACGGTCACCCCAGCGTTTATATCTGACCCTAGGAACCTCTAAAAGAAACTGGCTTGAAGATCTAAGGGACCTTTTAGGTTTGTGCCAGTGCACTAGTTCAGTGAGGTAAAATGGAGCCAAACCATTAAGAGCCTTAAAAACAAAAATCAGCAACTTAAAATAAATTCGAAAACAGACTGGAAGCCAGTGGAGAGAAGCCAGTACCGGGGTTATATGGTCAAATTTCCTAGTACCTGTTAAAGCTGAGTGTCAGTGCCTCACTTACTGTGGTACTGCTCTGATCTACATCCAGCAGACTGAACTGTTGTCTCTAACGACTTAGTGTAGTTTATAATTATTACAAACCGCATATACTACTTTTAATGTATGATATGACATTTTTGATTGATATTTAGTACTGCAGAATAAAGTAGCATCAAGGCTATCGCCACCAGTTTTTCTCTGTTGGCTCTCTAAGCTAACTAGCTCTCCTGGGGCTTCTGCTATTTATACAGAGGCATTACTAGACATCAAGATCTACTGGGGCATAGGACCCCATTACTGAAATCATACAGTTATTTTTCTTGAATGTCTACTGAATGAATGAAATGTGCTATATGAAATATTAATCTATATGAAAATATTTATTTTAGCATGTATTAAGAACATTCTCAACATGTTTTATGGCATAAAGGTCTGGCCCTGTATTGCACTTTTGCGTTATTCTGCCTTTCACAGTATTACGATTTGACTGTCAAGCAGCTGCATTTTGATTTGTCAGATTTAAACTCTCACACATTAATCTACCAACAAATCATTAATTTACAAAAAAATAAAACAAAACCAATCTAAATAATTTTTGTATGTCATAATGCCACAATACATTTCGATGCTTCAACTACTTCAAAATTGTGTTGTGCAATGGATGGCTGGTGGTCGCACACCTGTTTCCATAGAAACACACAGCTTCCTCCACATTTTCCCTTCCTGCCTCAGGTTCACCTGTTTGTTAAAAATGCATAAACATCATTTGGATTGTGTGACAAGTGCATCAAATACTATGTTATATTCCTTAAATTCAGAATGAACAGCACAAAGTGAACATAGACCACTACATGTGATGTGTTATACAACATACTTGGCATTCATTTTATTTCATATAATAAATATCCTTTTAAGAGTAGTCCAGCGGATCACATGCATTGATGTACAGAGTCCTAATTTACTTTACATTCAACATCCGTGCCTGGTGTAGTGGCAAATAATAAACTATTGTGTGAAAAATGAACAATGAGTGAACATACATTACATTTATTGAAGCATGCACATTGTATTTCAGCTGAAAGGTCACTGGTCTGAACTCTCAGAGGAGTGAACAGAGAATGACAAAGAATGAAAAGAAACGCAGTGTTTCTAGGCACAGCAAACGGGCAAAAGGGCATGAAGGTGAGAACTATCTGCAAGATACAGTACATTGACTGTCTAGACAGTTGAACAAAATATGTTCTACCCAAAATGAGAAACTAAAATAGCTAGTTTACCAACTACAGCCAGGTCTCACGTCTCTCACCCTCACCTCTCTGAACCTCTTCCCTGTCTCAGCCTCCTCTAAAGAATTTTCTTATGTCCATCTACAGGAGTCAATAATGTTTGAGTCAAAATAAGATTATTGGTATTATACAAAAACCTAATTTAGCCTGTCACATACCTTAATTCATTCCTCTCTTTTGTTTTATTTGCCAATACATGGACTGCTGTGTGTGCGTTACAGTGCACCAAGTATGACATGCACAACATGCATACAGCATGCATGAACCATGTTGTATGAACCCTGACCACTGTGCTTCAGCTTGTATTTTGCTTTGACTTTTTTGGATTAGGACAAATCAATTATTTTCAGTAAAAGGGGCTTGGTGCCTGTGTATTTATGTATTGTCAGCAGTTCATGCTGTCTTTCAGGTGCTGACTTCACAGCAGGAGCTGGAGGAGGAGAGTAGCTCATTTCTTGTTGATCCCACCAACCAGCACAACTGTGAGGACAGAGAACCAGAGGAAGCTCCCCTCTACCTCCAAGAGGAACACACACATGGTGAGGAACCATATTTGTAAATTAGATCTCAAGAACTAAAGAACTTTGTGGGCTCAATTGGTTCATGGTATACGAGATCCAGCCTGGGAACAGAGTCTGGCTAAGTTCATATTCTATTCCAGTTATCCCCTTGTGCAGCTGATGGTCTTAGTATAGCTGGTTTTCAAACACAGGACCTTAACAAACTGTAACCCGGGAACTCGCTTCCAAAGCTGACTGAGGGCTGTGGAAACAAAAGCAGAACCCACCTCGTTCCATTATGGGTTGGTAGGCTCATACTGTCAAAAAAGGCCTATATGAGTGTTATTTTGTCTCATACCAAAATATATCAAAGTGAACTTATCAGTTGTGAACACATGGTGTGTTGTCGTCATCATCATCACTGGGGACTGTTCTTTCAACAAGATGGAAAAAAAATACATGTACTATTTCTGCTCTTATTGTCAAGTGATGGAATATCATGGTGCTGCCAGTGTTACTGGACTCTTTCTGTTTGGGGTTGTTCTGGTCCACTGTGTAATGAAAGATATAGCCCAGTCCTTTCAACCAGGAACTCTGAGAGACAACGCAGACCACTTGGATATATAAAAAATATAACCGTGCTGGTTTATTCAAAGGATCACAGGCAAAATTAACATCGCACGTCCAGGCATCTTCCACCTCCAGTACTGCGCGCAGGCAGCCCGGAAGATGAAAAAAAGCCCCGAACCTAATAGCCTATACAATTTAATCACTTGGTTGGGCTAGCCCCATCCTACACAGGCAACGTCAAACCGTGACGTCACCTGATATGCCAGCTTGGCAGCTGACCAGAGCAGTAGTCAAAACATGGAAAAAAATTCAAGTGTGTGGCTGTTGATTAGTGGTGTGTATCTAAAAAACATACAGGACATTCAGGGACATGTCC